CTTTAAATTTAGGAATGGAAGGCTAAATAGTTTAATTTTGGAGTAAAAAATTAATGTCTTTTCCTTTATTATACAGAACATCAATTTTAAGATAGAACTTTTAGCGAATCATTATTGAATTTATTTTTTTAGAGATTTTAATTCCTGTAATGAAAATTTAAATTGATTTTAAGTTAATTTATTTATCACAATTTCTTTCACAGTGATAGATATTTAGGGAAAAATTTTTAGTATCTTAAAAATTTATAAGTTAGTAAAATCAACTTCTGTACTTAGATTTAGGAAACAGAAGCTCCACATTTTAAATTTTCGATGACAAGCGTTATTTTCTATAATTTGCAAACATAAATTTAATATAGAGAGATTTTTGAGAGATTTTTTTTTATCAAATTGAGTTTATTAAGATAGATTAATTGAAATTTTGTAACACAATGATATTACCAAATAATCAATATTGATTGAAATTAATTGTATCATGAATTAACTAAAAAAATTTAAAATATTTTTCATAAGCAGACCCACAATAATGCACGAACCCACTTGGTAGTCATTTTCTACGAGTAAATACTAGATTTTTTCCCCATGTTATACCGTGGGTTGAATAAAATATATAAAATCATTTAGAAAAATTATTTTAGTTTGATAATCTATATTATGGTGTGAATTTATAAAAATATATGAAATCAAAGGTGAAAAAAATATATTTATAATTTTTTAATAAAAATGTTGTATTTAACTATTTCTTATTTGTGTTTTTCATAATTTTTTCTATGGAAAAAGGATTTATTCTTGTTAATCCATGGATTATTAACTAAAAAGAAAATTAAATAATTTTTTTTAAAAAAAGCTTTAGTATTTCATAAGATTGTATTAAAAAAAATAAAAAAATTATTAAAAGCTAACATAGAATTGAAAAAATAATTTTTTTATTTAATGTTGACGAGAATATCGATTTTTGAAAAAAAAATGAATTTAATTTTTATATATTTGTTTACAAAAGAATGAATAATATTAAAATAAATTAAAACTCGGAAGTAAATATAGTTTTAAATTAATTGGATGAGAATTTTTAAAAAAAGATAAATTAAAGTAGTAAAATTTGAAATAATAAAAATAATTAACAAAAAAAATACTAAAACAAAATGAGACCAAATCACAATACCATTAAATTTTGAAATTGAAAAAAAAAAATATATATATATATATATATATATATTGAGGACCATATAATTTTAAATTAATTGGATGAGAATTTTTTTAAAAAAGAAGACAAATTAAAGTAATAAATTTTAAATAATAAAAATAATTAATAAAAAATACTAAAATAAAATTAGACCAAATCACAATACAATTAAAGTTTGAAATTGAAAAATAAAATTAAATGAGGGGCCAAAGTGTTACAAAAATGATATAAATAGTGAAAGAAATAATGATTTATGAGTATATGAACAGTATTATGAATAATAAAATATTATTTTGTTTCAGTGTTTTATATATATATATATATATATATATATATATATATATATATATATATATATAGAGAGAGAGAGAGAGAGAGAGTAGGCGTTTGTGATTTAAAGTATCAGTAATCTTATTATATCCAAAATGTTCATCCATAAAATTTAATAATTGATTAAACGCAGCCAAATCCGCTAATTCATTCGAGCTACTTCAAAATCTTTACATCTTCGAACTTTAGACCCACAAGTCTCTTTCTGACAAACCAATCCATTCTTCCTATCGCAGCTGCATACACTTGGCCTAGGTGTAGCTTATTGCACAATGTTGTCCAAAATGCAGAAATGGCTGACGTAGAATCTGATTTGAGCACATGTGTCATCCATCCAGATGGATATTATTTGCGTACATGGGAGTGATTTGGACTTTTGCCAACCTATTGTTAGGCCTATTACCGAACATGAATAATTACATCTTATGAACTAACTGAAAGGTTTTAAGGATGTTTTTTTAAAAAAATAAAATAAAATAATAATAATTAAACTATAAGTACACTAACTTTCACTTCTTTTTAATTAAGTATATAAATTTTAATTTTTTTTATTTGAATACACTAATTTTTTTAAAACTATCAATTAAGTATTTTTATCAATTTTTTTGTTAAGCAATTGTCTATTATCCTCGAATGCCGAATTATAATTTTATCTTTTTTTCTCAATGACATGAACTTTAATTTTGTTCAATTAAGTGTATCAATTTTTTCAAAACTCGTAAATCAAATATTTTTTTTCAATTTCTTCATTAATTGATGACTTATTTGCATACTAAATTAAATTTTTTCTTTTCTTGTTGTAAGGAACTTTCTCCTTAAATTATTCTATTATTTTAAAATTTGAAAAGAATTTTAAAAAAGTTATTTTTTGTTATAAAATCTCAAACTAACCTTAGTTAGACTTGATGTTAAAGGAACAAAAACGTGAGATTTTTCACCGAGAAAATTCATTTGTATTTTTCTTCAATTTTCACTCTTAAACCTAACTGAAATTTATTTTTTGTTTAAACGAGCAATCTAACTAAGTTTAGTTTGAAATTTTATAAATAAAAAATAATATTTATTAATTATTTTTCAAATGTAAAAATGGAAAAATAATTTGGGGAGATTCCTTCGACAAAAAAAAAAAAAAGAAAGTAAAATTATAATTTCATATTCAAACATGTCATCGGTTAATAAAAAATTAATTAAAATACTTGATTGACGAGTTTTAAAAAGCTGATGTACTCAAACAAAAAAAAAAAAGAAAAAATTTATATACTTGATCGAGAAAAAGGTAAGCTTGTAATTTGGTAATTTAAGGATAATAGACATGTTACCGAGTTAATAAAAAAATTAACATAAATACTTAATTGATAGTTTTGAAAAAATTTGTGTACTTTAATAAAAAAAATAAAGTTTATATACTTGATTAAAAAAAACTAAAAGTTGGTATACTTATAATGTAGTTATCCTTTCTTCTTTTTGGTTTTTTCTGCATTTGGATTTTGTAATCTTCGATTTTTTTATTTATTAAGATCATTTATTGTCTTTTGACTTAATTGAAATCCTTTACTTCTGTTTTTTTCTCTTGAGACCCTCTATTATGACGCCACCAATCAATAATTGACACATCATTTTTATTTTTTGAAATTTTATATTTTATAATGTCACTTATCGATTTTTGATTGATGACGTTATAATGAAGAGCCTAAAATAAAAAATTTCAAGTAATAGGAGTTCTCAATTAAGATAAAAAAAAATTTAGAAAGTTTCAATAAAAAAATTCAAAAAGTAAAGAGTGCAAAGGTAAACAAACCGTTGTTTTTTATGGTAACATGAAGTTTTTTCTGATGTGCTTGAAGCTGCATACTATTTGATGCATGGATACTCTTCAACTAGGAATGTCAGTATTAATTAATAGCTGGATCGGTTAGATTCAGAATCCCCTGCTGCCTTAATCTGTCAATTTAGAACTGTAACAGTCAATATGTTTTTTATAGTCCAAATGTGGAACAAAAACAAAAAAAGTTTCCTAAAGGATATCTGCATCAAGAATAAGGTACCTGCAGTAATTCAAAGATAGGGGTAGACTCTGACAAATACGCTTGTCATCCTTTCGTTGTTAACAAAAAAGCTGAGCTTGCCATTATAAAAAACTATCCTTCTGTATCAAACTAGAGCCTCTTTTCTTTATCTAATTGTTGTTTCTCTTTTCAAGTCAACACATACAGATACAGGATATTTATGAGCATGACTTTTTCTTGAAGTTATTTTGTTGTTGAAATTTCAGTGTTGTCTTAATGGATTTTCATTTCAAAATAGAAAAAGATACGGTGATATGTTGGCTATTGGCTAAATCAAGGTTTGATATTGGTAGGCTTTGCTTTGCATAGAAGAAGAAACATGGCGAATCAACCTGCAGCCACTAGAAATGGGGTGTTCGAATTCAAATTTTTGAGAATGTTCAAGAAAAGAATTCATTTTTCAATTTTCCTAGTAGAATACAAAGATCATTTGCCCTTGTTTTCATTCATCAAGAGTACCACCAAACTTTAGGCCATTGAGCTGACTTGTGAAGCAGATTAATGCTAAATGACTTTCTTTTCTTGGTTCATTGTTAAATTTATCAGCCAACCCATATTTAAGAAAGCACACATCAGGTTTAGTTCCATTCTAGGATTGTTACAACACACTCTCAGCTCGATGTGACATGTCAAAGCTAACAGGGAAAGAGGAAAAAAAGGGTTATCATGGGCTAACAGGCTATGCTAATTTAGACCTAAGCAATTTCATAAGCCAAAAGCTGGATATATCCTAAGTTTGGCAGGACAAAACGAAGTGGTCCAAGCCCATCTTCAAAATTGGGCTACTGTTTCTACTCTGTCTTTGACAATTCAGCCAGGCGGCGTGGCATGCAAACATAATCACAGGACAAATCAACTTTTATTCATATGACTAGGGGTCCCTGTGTTTAGTATTTGGGATCTGTCATCGTCTAATTGAACCAAAACTTGTTTACTGATCTTACAACTTATTATCTAATAAAAGGGCTTAAAATTGTGCCTTGGTTTACTATAGACCATTCTAATTCACGATCCAGTGCCAGCCCAAACTCAACCCCACCAACAATGTATTGTTCTGTGCTAACCAACAGTTTTCATAGACTCCAAATTTTGCAGTGCAGGTACCTACATTTTACGGTAACATCTGAATTTTCAACATATTGGTTGCATGATTTGTTGCCAACTACCAAGTCAAGATGCTCTACCAAATCTAAAGTCTGTTCAAACTTCTATTAGAAAGATGGACTTGCAAATTAAACTTTTCTGAATTAGACTTCTGTTGTAGGGGGACTTGAAGACAGCATTTACTTTTCAACTTCTATTCTCTCTCCTTTTCGATTCTTTCTTTTTGGTCAATGTTTTACAAAGGCTAAAACTAGTTTCAGCTCAATTTTACAACTTACGTATAACAAATAACACATCAGCATATCTTTCAACTTATCTCACGCTGTCTGAGAAGAACACCTTATGTTCTTCTTACCTCGTAATAACTCCAAATGGATCGTGGTTGACATTTTCAACTTCATGATTATAAGGATTCTAAGAAGCTCCTGGCTTGCAGAGCGGGCGTCGCTTCCATCTTCCTCTACGACGGAGTGAGGATATACATCTTGCAGGCATGGGGAGCAACATATGCAGTCAGTCCATAACGTTTTCTCATTGAAACAAATGAGTGCTGCAATACAATAACGAAAAATGACCTGTTTAAATAAACAACCAGAAAAGAAAGCTACACGAGTTTTGTTATCTGTTAAACAACAATTTCATCATTATTATCTGACAATGGACTCTAAAAGGTCTTTTTAGTTGTCAAAAGAATGAAAACATACAAGCACTAAGGTTAAAGGAAATGAAATGTCTGGTATACCGCCCACAAGTCTCTGATAATGACAGGATTATATGGAGAGAGTCCAATTTCCCTCCATCCCACGGATATAGGAGCCCGAGATCCACTCCTATTCCACAGCACTACCGCAACTTTCTTCCTTGACAACAACCCTGCCCAAATCTGCATCAAATATTGAGAGTTATTACTACTCTGCTAGTCAAGGGAAAAACTGCGTTCAGAACCCACCTCAAGGCCCGCTTTTGCTCGTATTTTCCTGCCTTGAAGTCCCAATGGATCCTGGTTAACATCTATAACTTCCTTGTTTCCAAGGATTCTAAGTGTCTTCTTGCTTGCCGATCGAACATCACAGCCAATGAGTAGAGGAGCCTAGTAGAACAAGGTTGTGGATTATAACAAGTTGCAATAACGGGCATGGAAAAAGCTCAAGATTCAGAGACGCACTTTCATTAGAGCCCAAATACTAAAATGAGAGCGATACTCCTCGAGGCTCATCCCTCCATTGCCTACTTCTAACATATCAGGATCTATTATGATCATTACCCATATTAGTAGCATATAATATGAGAAAGATAACTAGATAAGCAATATTAACTAGATAAGCAATATTTGAGCCAGTAAAGAAATTTGTTGATTTTAATAATTTTTTTGGAACCGCACAAGAGCTGCATATTTCCACGAAATACAGGATATCAGGGCAGAAGCAAGCACAAGAGTAAGCAGATTACCATTCCACCTCCCAGGCCCAGCATATCTACCCCAAATGTTGTTTTCATCCGCAATCGACATGACACTGAAACAATAATGCATGCAGAATCAACTTATTGCCTATAATATGAGAAGCATGGAATGAATATCAAAGCCAGAATGAGAGAGGACCAAAAATGCTGGACCTTTCCCAAGTGTCTTTAATATCCCCTGTAGTTCTCCAAGCATTGCCATAGAAACCAGCCCATTTTGCCGGATTCTCTTGTCCCCTATGAGATTGTTGCTTTGTGAAAGTATCATCAGAAAACCTCAAATAGTAAATAAATTTATGTACTGCTTCACTGAAACTGTGCTGGATGATGAACACACAGAGACAGAACATGCCAACAAGGAATTTCTGCATAATCAAGCGACTTACCATTCACATAATGCGTAAAGAATCGGCCGCCCAACCTTACGCAATGCATAACTCATCCTAGCATACCTGCCACCAGAGGAAAAGGAATTTCATCTGATACAAGTGGATGATGTTAGGGACAAAATTTATGGTACCTATCTTGAGGTCTGGATCCATCATGGTAGCAGTTATCGTACTTCAAGTAATCGACCCCCTAAGACAAATTAAAATACACCCAATTAATCCTTTTTTTTTTAACTCACACACCCGTGGCTCCTAACAGAACTAGTCTGCTAGTATTTGAACCCGACCACTACCACCGAGCTACAAGCTCTTTTCTAATTAATTCATTTTTTCATCCACGTCTAAATAACTGTAATAAGTGTTAATCAAGTCATAACAGATTACGACACTAACCCATTCAGCGAAGGTTTTTGCATCTTGCTCTTCATGTCCTAGAGAACCTGGCATTTTCTTGCTGCAGGTTCTGTAACTGAGGAGATAAAAAAGCAATTACAAGTCTCTTAATATCATTTATAATTTCTAACATAGGTCCTGTCCATCAAATAACTGTTTAATTGATAGCGATCTACCCTACCCTGCATCAGAATATATGCCAAGTTTTAAGCCTTTTGAATGTACATAATCTGCCAGAGCCTTGATACCAGAAGGAAATGTAGAAGCTCTTGCCCTTAGATTCCCCTTCGAGTCTCTACTCTCTTCTCCCCAACAATCATCTGCCTTTTCAAAAACACTTGGTAAACGTTTACCATGCCATTGATAGTGACAACCCTAAATTCGTCCAATATTTATCCACACATAAAAGGTCCAAAGGAAGCAGTTATGTCACATACCAATGTTAACGTATTTGTATCCAAGTGCCGCCAAACCAGTTGAAACAAGAGCATCAGCTGGTACCAAGAAATCAAACAAGAACCACCAAAGGTCAATTTTTATTTTTATTTTTTTATTTTTAAACTAATAATAAATCTTTCAAGAGGACTTGGATTGATACGAAACTCTCACATTCGTAATACTAGTCTACAGTAAAACTTCAATACTCCACACATAACTTTCTTTGCCACACATCATGCAAAAAAGTTGGTAAGACTAAGTTTAATATGTGACCTGATCATGATCTAGAATCTCATTCTCTCTCAGTTGATTTTTCAGTGGATTTTGATAGACCTTGATTGGTCTAATTCAAACAAATCCCAACAGTTATGACTTGTTCATTAACATCATTTGCAAAGAAGGCGATTAGCAAATTACTAGTGCATTTCTGGTTTAGTACAACACGGGCAAAGGACATTGAATCACTACGGAATTCACACAAATAAAAACCCTGTTTAATTAATCCACTGAAACTTCAATTTCAAAGCTAATAGTGTCAATAAAGCCATTCAAAGCCAATTTGAAATAAAAAATTCAAATCCAGTAAGAGATTTAAAATGTGCCATTTTAAAATTAGCCTAGCCAATCCTTTTGAATAATTAAAAATAAATAAATAAATAAAATACTACCACTAGTAAATAGTGGTCATAGATCTCCATTATCTAAACTGAATTATTATAATATGAAGTATTGAATATCTGTTCATTCAAAAGATCATTCTCTTTGAACAATTCTCGAAACGAAAACTCAGCATACATAGTCTTAATAGTCCACCATCTAAAAGGAGAAAGTGATGCTAGCTACATACCGGTAGTCTTAATAGTCTTCTCATCTATATTGCATTGAAAATGATTCCAACTATTCCATCTGCATTTAAAAAAAAAAAAAAAAAGTTCAATCAAACTTTGCCTACAATAACGTTTGTTTTTTCCTCCACCATCCAAAAAAAATAAGTATTTTTCTTGGGACTTTGAATAGTACCCCATTGGTGGTGTACGAGCCACACCATTGGCTAGAAGGAACTGAGTGTATTCTTGAAGATTAGCAATATTGCTGCTGCTGCTGACATTTATACAATTAGCCCCCATGTTTATGCTTAGCACAACAAGAACAACCTTAACAAAAAGAAAGCTAATTTTAGATCCCATTTTCATTTTGAAAGGAAGTAATGGGACTGTTGAAACAAGAAAGTGCTTAAGAGCAAGAAATGGGTGATGCATGCTTAGGACTGCCCTTCCTTCAAGCACGTATGAGGGTGGCTGTCGGTGGAGAGACACGAGCTCCTCTTGGATAGATTTGCTTTAATCAATGCCTAGATGTCGTGTAGGGACCATTTTATCTTTCTTGTTAAATATGAAATAAACAATTTTGTCCCTAATCAGTTCCTCAACAAATTTGGCATGATCCACATGCAGTCCCTATGATTTTCCAATTGTAACCAATCGAATCCGTCCGATCATAAGTCTGATTGCTTTTCTTTTTACTTTAGTGTTACAGTCATCTAATACTTTTGAACCATTCTTGCGCATACAAAATAGAATATATCTCTTCGCTTTTGGAATTGTATTCAATCTATTTAAATGCAAATATAGAAATTAACAAAATGATAAAGAACTACCCTATCATAAAAAGATAGGATTTGACTTGACAAATTTAGGTTATAATATATATATTGATTGAGGGATTCACAAAAGATGCTAAAAAAATTATAAAAATTATTTTAATAGTAACCAACATAAACTAGGAATTTAATGCTCATTTGATCAAGTAGATACTCAATATTGTAATTATAAAATTATTTTCTTTAATTTCATTAAGGAATTAAACTATTTATGGTCATTGAAACAGCCGAATAAATGGCCGAAACTTTCCTTGAAATTAAAATTATTTAAAAATTAGTCCTTGAACTTCTAATTTTAGGTTAAATCTCCTTCAATTTCAAATGAAAAACAATTGGAGAGAGGTCAATTTTAAAATTAAAAGTTTAAAAACCGATTCTCAAATGATTTGTAAAAGTTTAATTCAATAATAAAATACTTGTAGAAACTGCTATTTGTGTTGAAAAACTATTAAAAAAAAAACAACAAAATTCTTAATATTTTTTATCTTATGTTTTCATTTTTTTAAAATAACTTTTCTCATTTTATTTTCTCTTGCTATCTTATACGTACATAAAAGATGTCATATGTCTCATTTAATATTTTCACAAAATTAACATTCAAATATTTAATTAAGATAAACATTAATCTCATCTTATATAGTTTTGCATAGTTTGTATCGATTGATATAAATTAACGATTGAAATAAACGATTATTTTATACAGTTGAACGTTAAAGTTACTTAATAATGTATTTATCAGTAAAAAAAAAAACAATTTTTTTTCCTATTAATCTTTCCTTCTCAAATATTAGATACTTTATTATTTGAAAAAGCTATGGTGTTTACGGATTTTCTTCTTAAAGAATAGACAATAGATACAAAATATGATTATTTTTTAATTCATTCACTTTTTTATCATCGCAATGTCCTATAAATTAATAAAAATTCAACTTATTCACTTTCTATATTGGTAATTAATGCACTATTTAATGCATATAAATATAATTTATCAAATTTATATTTATTTTTAAAATTTATGTCCATTGATACAAATTATAAGATATATTACTTTTTTATTTTAATTCTAGAAATTTTATAATAATAATTTAATGAATTTTTTCCTCTCAAATTTCAGTTTCTAAATTTATGCCCATTAATACAATTTGTAGAGTAAATTATAAATCAGTCCTTCTAATTTTGAAAAATGAAGTCTTTTTTATCTATTTTATGTTCTTTTATAATTTATTTGTTTTAAAAAATATAAAAAATAGATATTATGGAAAGAGATATGAGAAAAGAAGACATTTTTTTGAAATAAAATAATATTAAATTTAGTAAGGTCAATACTAATCAAGAGACTAAATAACTAAATTTTGAACAAAAGGACTAATTATTTTGTTTCTCCAAACTAGAGAGACTAATTTATAATTTTGTAAGGCATCTATTTGTTTTATTTAAGTAAAGAATTTTTTAATAATAATTTGGTGGAAAAGTAGAATGTGATATATGACATATTTTTTGTATGTATACGGTTGATATGAAAAAAAAAAAAAAAAAAGGGAGAAACTTGTAAGGTGAAAAAAAGGACATATTTGAGTAAATTATAAATTAATCCTTATAGTATAGAGAAAGGAATTATTAGTTCTTTTTCTTTTAAAAACTAATCATTTAGTTATTTATGTTTTAATTCCGTCAATAGCTTAGTCTTTTCATCATTTTTCTCTTAGATTAATAAGTTTTTTCCTAAATTACCTTTTATTTTATTTTTGGTTTGAGAAGGAAAAAAAGTGAGTGATAGAGAGAAATAAGGTATTTAAAAAAAAGATAATTTGAGAAAAAATCACTAATCTAATAGAAAATGATGAAAAGATTAAGTTATTAACATAATTAAAATATTAAAGATTAAATGATTAATTTTTAAAACAAAAGAGATTCAATTTCTTTTCTCAAAATGAGAGCGACTAAAAATAGAAAAAAACAAGATTTTTTTTTTTTTTTTAACATGATAAAACCCCAGGATCACCTATTAAATACAATAGCAAAATAACCAAGAAAAGATTACAAACTCGAATCTGTGAGTCAAGATAACTTATTAGTACTACTCTCTGCAATTCCAAAACTCACTTTATATTCTTTATTTATTATTTTTTTCCTCTTGTTTGACTTTCTCTGAAACCACATAATATATATATATATATATATATATATATATATATATATGTAATCCTAAAAATATCCATAAAGATTTTTGTGATTAATATTTTTAAAAATTTATTTTCAAAATATCTACAATCATGTATTTGGATGTATCTCTTAACCACGTTAAGAAAAAAAAATCAAAAATATGCCCAAGCTTAAAAATAAAAAATAGAAAAAGTCCATAGAAAAAGGATACTCACACTTAAGGAGGTTTGACATGTGGTAGGGAAACCCCCACATGCTCCACACACAAAAAGAAAAATTACAAATCATGTTATGTATGTATGGCCTTTTTTTTTTTTAAAAAAAAGAAAAGGACTAGAAAATGAGATTGATTTATTTTTGAGAAAAAAACAGAGATACCGTTGACTTATGAGTTTGGCTATTTATGTAGATTTTCAACCCTATATTTTTATAAATGAAGATATAATAGTATGTACTATTTAGATCCCTAACTGTAGAGCTTAATTTTTTAGGTTAGAAGAAATATATATCACAAATTAATGGTGATCTTTCTAATAATTTTCTGAATAAAAGGAGATTTTTACTAATGACGGCAATCTCTAATATTGGTAGAAGTGAAGTTCATGATGTGAAATTAGAAAAGGACATTTAGAACATGCCCACGGACATTATAAAGCGGCAATCTCGTTGTCTCTTTCATGGAAAGAGACATTATTTTACGAAAGCCAATAAGTTGAGAAACATCAAGTTAACCGAACCAACTGATGAATAGATTCAATTTAATATATATATGCACCTGCATGCAATTAATAAAAAGCCAATTTACAGCACACAAAACTGTGTCTATTTGCTGCTGGGCAATTGCCTCGTATGCGCGTAAGCTTTCGGTGATTTGTCCGTTCATCGTTTTCTTCATGGTTTGAATATGCTACGAGAGAGTTGGTTTTTTCCTTGTCATTTTAGGTCTGAACTTAAGACTGTCGTCATGCATGGAGAGTGTTTGTGTGAGGATAATTATGTATGCTAGAAATTAATTAAATATATAATAACTAGCTAGCTAATGAATGAGAAGATGATGTCAAGTTCAAAGATTCAATGTGTATTCCATTTCGCCTGTTTTTCTTAGTAATATTTAAGTTCCTTTGACTTTTGATTATTTTCCATTTTATATATGCTAACCTTTTACAGACGCATCCCTTCTAAGTTTTATAGCTTATATATGTTAATCATAGTTTGATTTATTTGATAAACAATTGGTTTATACCTAAAAGAGAGATTAATTTAAGGTGTCTAGCTCATTCTATAAATAGATAAGAGGCCAGCTCACTTCATATAGTTAAAAACAATTTAATTTATTTTTACTTAAAATAACTAAAATTAATATTATTGCTAGTTACGTAACGTAGTGGATCATTATAATATAATTGATTTAATTAATTTACAGGAACCAACAGGTCATGTATTAGTTTCTACAAACCTTCAATTGAAGGGAGGTGCATGACCGTCTCTTTTAAAGGTCAAAGATATGGACTCCAAGTTTTAATTAAGCCGTTGTGCTTGCCTTTTTAGTCTAGCTCTATTACTATATGTTTAATTTATTAGTTTAAAAATATTAATCCAAAATAACTTAAGTAAGCTTTTAATGTAGATGTTCCCTTTCCATTTTTATTATTCTCTTATTCAATATGGAATTTGATGCCATTAAATAATGTAGGAAAATCATTGTGAGACACTAACTAATTATTTAAATTTTGATTGAGTATCCAATAGGGTTGGTTTGGTTTGATCATCGCAAAAAAGCTCTAGTATTTTAAATAAATGATTTCGATTTTAAATTTTTTAAACAAATAGTTTCGGTTTCAAATTTTTATGTACATAGAAAACTTTTTAAATAGTTATATTCATCTTATGCGTATGATAAAACAAGTAAGAAAGTAATCTGAATTTTTAAACTTGAAATATCTTGAGAATAAAAAAAAAAATTGATTGAGTAGTCATCTTCGTATAACATTTGAGTCATTTTATTAAATGATCATTAATTAGTTTAATACTTGACAACCATATTCTTATATTCAATTTTTAGTTTGATACAAGACGCCCTAATTAAACTTTTACTTGATAAGTTGTGTCATTTCAATGAAATAAAAATTACCAGTACTATTTTTAAAACGTTGTTTAAACTCTTGATGAAAGTGATCAATTTAACATTAATACTCAATATAGTTTCATTATAAGATTAATACATATTTTTTGGTTTCCAAAAAAGCACAGTGCTCATTCAAAACTTCATGGCTTTCTTGAACCTCAACACCAACTTCGCAAAAGTTTCGTGGAAACTTAGGTGCATGTGGCTATCTCTCCGCTCTTGTCTTTTGATTGATTATTAATTAGTGATTATAGGCCTTTGGTTTTCAATGCACTCATGCAGGCAGCTAGCATCGTGCAACATATTTCTTTTGGGTGCGACTTTTTCCCTCGTAACTCATAATCACACAGCTTGCAATTGATTAAGGCATTTTCGCAGCATAACATCTTCAATTTCGTACGTAGCTAGAGGGAGACAACATTCGTACATAAGAAAAAAGAAAGAAAGAAATTGGAGTACAGAAACAGACACCATACGGATCATGAATCATATCTGCATTTCAATTAGTAAGCAGAATTTTATTTGAACATGAACATATTACAAGTATAGTTCTCAATTGAACAATATGTGCAGCTTATTTAATCAACAAGACATTATTGATTACAGTATGGTAACAATCAACATTGTTAGATTCTTACCTCTAGCTCTCTAGTTGCCCTCTTAGCTCGTATTCTTTATTGTTTACAATTACAAAAATAAAAAATAAAAAAGAATTCTCTGAATGATCAATTGACGGTTAACGAAAAAATTTAACGAATAAAAAAATTTCATCCTTATTGAATTAAGTCATGATGCATGTGGTTTTGTATGCTTCATCTTAATTTCTCAGTAATAATTCTTCATAAAATATTTTAGATCCTTGTGTGTTTCTTCTCCATCCACCTCGATCAAATTCTGAACAACCGCTTCTGCTGCTGTTGTTAAGAATTGAGACCAATCCCTGCATAGAAAGGAAAAAATAATAATCAAGATTGGTAATTAATCATATGTAAATCAAACATTAAAACATAATAGTAGCATAAAATAACAAAACAATAATAGCAGCAGCAGCAGCATATTTTAGTTATAAATTATCGATTAGCTATGTTAGTAATTTTTGTCCTAACTTGCATTTTGTGCTACAAATTAAGAACGGTATACATACCCTTCAAGCGTGTCAAATGTAAGTCCAACGGTGTACTTTGCCTCTTCAAGAGCATCTGCAAACCTTTCCAGCTCTTTGCCAGGACAACGCCCGTTATCCTTAACACGAAGCTGAGATGGTTTGACGTCACAAAATATAGGTATAACTCTTTTCTTCTTCTCCATTAACAAAGCCAATTCATGGAGGCAAAAGTACGACTCACAATAATGCGGAGAAAATACAGCAACCCCAACCTTACATTCATGGACACCTCTATGAATTTTGTCATATAAGTTGTCACCAGGTCTCATGTTCTTGCTATCCAAAAATGGATTCAGCCTGAGTCTATAAAGATGATCAAAGAGCAACCCAGAAATGGTCCTCTTCGTGTCCATGGAACGATGATTAATGAACACGTCACAGGGTTGTCTTTTAAGGGGTTGGATTTGGTTATGGTGGCTCAAGATTTTACGACACAAGTTCTTGGCTGTTGTTACTGAACGCTGCTGCATGGCTTGATGAAGAAGATAAGAAAAAACAAAAATGTGTGTACAACAACAATATTACGAACTTGGTAGTTTTGTATTAATTCTTATTTTTATAAGTGCTTCAATTCGGCTCTGCGCGTGGGGTATTTATAGTTTACAAAGGAATGGTTTTTTCTTTTCTTGCTGTTGGTTTGATTTCAAGGGAAAGAATTCTAAAATTGGACCGCTCGTGAGAAAATACCTGGTATTTGTTGAGGCAAGACATCGCAAAAAGGAAGTAAAAATATTTGAATAATTTGACTCACACGGGCTTGCCTGCATAAACCTTCAAACACGTTTATTACAAATTTTTTTTTTCATGTCCGCTGACACGGTCACTGTTATGGCCTTTGTTCCCCCAAACCCCCCTCCCCCTCCCCCACAATTATCATTTTTCCCTGTTTTTGGAAGGATGATCTATAACAGGGTGACTTTCTTTCGGCCGCATCATGGTACGTACATCTTTATTTTGGTTTGGCCTGGTCATGACTTTTCTCAGTTAATTTCTAATTGCGGCTGATCATCATCATCAAGTGGCCTATTCGTTGGAATATTTTGAAAATTTAAAATTGGAGCATAATATTTTGTAATTAAAGTATATTCTTGATGAGTTTTTAGAGGTCACTTAAACGTTTATTCGGGTTTTTTTTATATTGAAAATAAATGCAATTAATAGATATAATTAACGACCATTACCGTTTAATAAAATGAGGCTGATCTTCAAGTTCTATTTACCTACCTTCATATTGTAACTGTTCAAAAAAGTAAATACCAAGCAGTTTTGTTGAAGTTTTATCATTATGATAAAAATTATGACTTATAATAATTTTCTATAACATAATTATTTTATATCTTTGCGACTGAAAATAGCATGCTAGTGTATCTGCATCGTGAGACACACAAGTCTTCATTTTGAACATGAAATATTTAATAAAGTGTGACACACACAATATCCAAATGCTAAGGAAATGGATTTTTTCCCCCTGTAGACCATGGTAAATACAATACCATTAATAGATATTGCAAGTTAACTTTTCACAATAGCATTTAATCTTTGCATGTAGCATGCTAGTGCAAACAAGATTAGTAATCACCTTGATAGCTGTGGTTGTTGGTGATGGTTATTTATGCTTTCAAGTAGAACTGTTGAATTTTTCATAAATGGTTTATATTTCTGTAGACAATGCGGGACAATCTAAAATCATTTATAATTGTGCACACTGAAAATATAGTTGATAGCTTAGAATTTTTTTATTTGTTCACCAATAGCTTTATAATTTGACTGGATCTTTGACAACAATTTTAGTATTTAGAACGGGCTTCTTACATTGCAACAAAACATAGGATTAGTGATCGTTATTTAACGATGGTTTAGAATATCGTTGTTAAAGATGAAGAATTCGTAGCGATCTAGGTAGACTCATGAATTTCATTACATTTTGGATATTTAGCCATGATTTTGAAAATCATCTCTAAAAACATGTAAATTCCCAATGGTTTTATAAAACCCTCACAAAAATTGTTGGTTTAACGACGATCCGGCGTACTCGTCCCTAAAAAGCTACATATTTAGTGACGAGTTTTCCAAAATCGTCAATAAATAACCACTTTGGACGAATTTAACAATGGTTTTAGGAGACCGTCACGAATTTAGCAATGGTTTTAGGAGATCGTCGCTAAATTCTCCCAAAAATGCTAACAAATACTTTTGGGATATTTAGCAACAGTCTTCTTAAAACCATTGCTAAAGGGCGGATTCAACCACGGTTTTAGGAAACCGTCACCAAAATTCTTTCAAAAATGCTAACGGATAATTTTAAGATATTTAGCGACAATTTGCTTAAAACTCGTCGCTAAAAACTATCGCTAAAGGGGGAATTAGCAATGGTTTTAGGAGACGGTCACTAAATTAATCCAAATATTTGTTGTTTTTCAGCAATGATATATAAAAACCATCGCTAAAATCTGTACAAATGGGCTTTTCGAGTGATATTTTTGGAAAACCATCGCTAATTTCCTCCATTTTTAGGTGACTTTAGTGATCGCCTCCTAAAACCGTAGTGAATTTTAATACATGCGGGGAAAACAATTTTTTGTAGCAAATAGGTAGAAACCCGTCGCTAAATACAAAATCTATAAATTGGTGGAAAACACTCTTTTTCCCCACTTTCACCATTTTTTTCTTCTCTTCTCTCTCTTCTTCTTCTTCACTAGCGATTACGTCCCCTCCTTGAAGCCATTAATCCCTCAAAACTCCCATTCTCTCTTCTTTTCTTCTTCTTCCCCTTCATCGCTTCTCTTTTTCTCGTCCATTTTCTTCTTCTTTCTCTCCTTTCCTTCTCCTCCTCCCTTCCCTCCTCTTCTTCGTGAGTTGGCCCTAGTTCCTCCCTCCTCTCCTCCAATTTATGGGCAGCAACTCATCCATTCTCTTCTCGTAACTCAATCATTGTAAGTTCAATACTTTTATTGATTTTTTTTTCTTTCCTTTGATTTCAATATTTATATATATATTGTTGTTTAATTAATTTTTTATTAATTGTTAGTTAGTTTTATTTATTTATTTTTATTGTTAATTTGTTAGTTATTAACTAAATTAATTAATTTAAAAAAATTAAGTAGATTTTAGTTTAATTAATTAATTGTTAATTAAGTTATTTAGTTGTTAAAATAAGTTAATTAGTTGTTAATTAAATTATTTAATTTTTTAAAAAATTTAATTAGGTGTTAGTTTAATTAATTAGTCATTAACTAAGTTATTTAGTTGTTAAATTAAGTTAATTATTTGTTAATTAAATTATTTAATTTTAAAAAAATTAATTAGGTGTTATTTTAATTAATTAGTTGTTAATTAAGTTATTTAGTTGTTAAATTAAGTTGATTACTTGTTAATCAGATTATTCAAGTTTTAAAAAACTTTAATTAGGTGTTAGTTTAATTAGTTAGTTGTTAATTAAGCTATTTAGTTATTAAAATAAGTTAATTACTAGTTAATTAATTAATTATTAATTAAGTTATTTACTTCTTAAATTATGTTAATTAATTGTTAATTGAATTATTTAATTTAAAAAATTGATTATGAGTTATTTTAATGAATTAGCTATTAATTAAGTTATTTAGGTTTTAAAATAAGTTAATTAGCTTTTAATTAAATTATTTAATTTTAAAAAATAATTAGGTGCTAGTTTAATTAATTAGTTTTTAATTAAGTTATTTATTTTTTAAGTTAAGTTAATAAGTTGTTAATTAAATTATTTCATTATTTAAAATATTTAATTAGGTGTTAAGTTTATTTAATTAGTTTTTAATTAAGTTATTTATGTGTTAAAATAATTTAATTAGTTGTTAATTAAATTAATTACTTTTTAAAATCTTTAATTAGATGTTAGTTTAATTAATTTGGTGTTGATTTAGTTATTTAGTTGTTAAAATAAGTTAATTAGTTGTTAATTAAATTAATTAATTGTTTAAAGTATCTAATTAATTGTTAGTTTAATTAATTTGGTAATTATTAAGTTATTTATGTGTTAAAATAAGTTAATTAGTTGTTTAAAAAAGCTTATTTAAGTATTCAATTTATTTATTTAGGTGTAATTCTATAGTTCATATTTTTTATATTATTTTCTATCAAGATTATTATTGAAGTATTTATGTAGTTATACTTGAAATGTGAAAAACTTTGAAGTGTCTCGGTCACCGATATTATGGTCACACCCCATGGATATGACATCATTAGGGAAATAATTGAGAAGGTATAAGGTCGGTGTTAATGCTCTACGATAGAGATAGGAAGATGAGATTAATTAATTTGATGTTAATTATGTTTGGTGTTAATTATGTTTTTTGTTAACCGAGAGATGTCCAGTTTATAGAGGATACTTTGTCGAAATTTTGTTAGAATTTTAATTAGTCTGTAACAATTATTTGTATGATGTCTAATGCATAATTTTTAAATAATAATTAGTTATTTTGTTTTTTTTCTTGACTTTGTAGACAAACTAATTATAAATTCGGATCGTTTATGAATCAAATATAGATATACAAATGATCTTTTAAATCAATGTTTTGTTGATGGCATAAATGAATTTATTGTTTTTGTTGTTAGTCGTCTTGAGTCTATGGACTCGAAATAAGATAAGATGTTCTTGTAAACTCAAAAAGTGTTAGAACTCGTAGTTATGAAGATCCCGATATTGTTAAATATCATTTGTTGAAATATGGTTTTATGTTCGGGTATTACATGTGGAGACATCATGAAGAAAATGAGTCGGTAGTTTATGGTGATAACTTGAGAAATTTTGTTAAAGCTCGAATAAATCTTTGATGAACCTCAAGCCAATCCATATCACATAATGGTGATGAATACGAGTCGATCCATCATTTATTTCATCTAACACCGATGAAGTCCCAAATCCTATTATCCAGGTATTTTATGATTTGTTAAATGCATTTAATAGAGAGATTTGGCTCGATTTAGAAAACCACTTATAATTATCCGTATTAGCACGTTTGTTTCTCCCGAAGTTTGAATATTATTTTTCGGAGAGGTTATATGACGAATTATGTCAATTTATGAAAGAGTTGGTGTATGCCGATGACTACATGCCGGAAGACTTTTATAGTACAAAAAAGTTAATGGAACCGATGGGTTTATGAGTTTAATAGATCCATAACTATATAAATGGATGCATAATTTATTATGGTAAAGATAGTGAGAGAATTACTTGTAAAATTTGTGACCATCCTCGTGATCGAAGTTCTAGGCGAGAGATCCATTAGAGAATTTATATCATATATATATAAAAATGTAATATTTTCACCTAACCTTGCGAGTTACAAAGGATGTATGAGTCGAATGCCATAACTAGTGA